GTCTACATATGTAGAGTTGCTTACAGTTTCGTTAAGTGAGAGCATGATGAGCTCTGTAAAGCTGTGTCGAGTCATATATGTAAACTTGGCTTGAAGTACTTATGTAGGCAAGTGTAGAGAATATATGTAGAATTGTCTTGAGATGTCCTGAGTAATGTAGACTTATGTATACCAATGTACAATATGGTATAGCAGTGTAAAGTTGTGTAGAATTATTTAAAACTCGTTTAAAGTATATATGTAGAGTTATGTGGAGTTGTGTATCGTCATATAAACTGTATGCAGATATGTGTAGAGTTCAATATGTGCATATGCATTGAATTGTGTTGAGTTATGTTGTACTGAATAATGTAGAGTTGTGTATAGCTATGTAGAATGAGGAATTGCTATCTAAGTAAATATAGATTTAATAAGACCTCTGTAAAGCTTTGTAGAGTTGTGTATAGGCATGTAAATTGTCTAGAAATAGTTAAAAAGACTTGTGTAGAGTCACATACAGCAATGTAGCATTGTGTAGAGTTGTGTAGAGTTACGTAGAATTATGATCTTTCTTATAGATCTAAGTATTTAGGCTAATGTATTCAAATTATATATGAGCTATGTAGAATTTTGCGCAGCTGTATACATTTTTGTAGAGTTTTATTAAGCTAGTTGAGAAGAGCTATTTACAGATATTATACATGTATATTGAGTCATGTAGAGCTGTGTGGATTCCTGCTATGTGTAGAGTTATGATGAACAATGTATATCTCTGTAGAGCTGTTAAGCTGGGTGGAGGATATAAAGCTAGCTATGGTTAGCTATGGCCAAGTGTTTGTAGAGTTGTGTAGAGCCATGTGTGTAGAGCTTGGCATATGCAAGTCAATGAATTGATTTGCTGTGCAGCGACCCAAGCAGCGACAACTTCTCTTTCCGATTTGCGGCGCAGCGCCAACTGTGTAGAGTTTTTTTGTTTTTTTTTTTTTTTTTTTTTTTTTTTTGCTTTTGTGGCACAACAAGCTGTGAGCTGCACTTATTAAATTTCTGCATATATGCAAAGAGACCCCCCCAAGAGCTGCAGTTGCAGTTGTTGTTGTTGTTGTTGTTACTGTTGTTGATTTTTAATGATTCGCTAACGTGGGAAATTTTTGCAGCTTTGAAACATTTTCTTTTGCATTAGCATTTTGCCATTGTTGTTGCTGCTCCTGTTGTTGTTGCCGTTGTTTATTGTTGCTTGTAGCAGCTTGTTATTTCTAATTTTTACACTACGAGTTTTTCTATTTTTCTATCATTTTTTTTCCACAATATTACACGTTATCCGCCGTTGGCGCCTTTGTGCCACGTTAATCACATAATTAAATCAAACTTTCTATGATTTCCGCAACGAGCTGCCATAAGGGCGAGCGGAGGGGTGGGGCTGGGCGAGGGGATGGGGCGGGGTAACTAAGTGTTAGACAGGGATCCAATAAATTATGCACAGCGAAAGGGATCAATTCACATGACAGTCAAATAACGAGCGAGTGAGACAGGGAGAGACAGAGTGAGAGCGATAGAGCTGCATTTAAATGCAAAATATTCGGCTTCCGCTTGTGCTTCACTTCAAAGTGATCGACTAACTAATGCCCTGTACAGTACATTACATTATATACTGAATCGTTCATCGCGTCGTATACGTAATATTCGTGAATCACACAGATAGAGGCACAGCTTTAACAGAGACAATGGCTCAATGCCAATCCTCAAATCTCTCAATCAATGACGAATCATTAGCTATACGTACGACCTGGGGCTTTCGATGCGATCACTCAATTATCATATCGTAATTGTGATCCAAAACGATCAATGAGTAAGCATATATGCATATATATAAATATATTCATATAAGTTTATAAATAGAGGCGGTACGCCTGAACAAAAGAGTTTCGAGAGCACGGGCACCAATTTTAATTTATACCACGTATAACCTGCTTCCGGGATTCCTATATGGCATCCCTTGTATAATATCATTTGGTTCCATTTAATTTTCTTGTTAAAGCACCATCACTTACTATTTAGACTCTGTTTTCTATTAGATTCAGGATCGTTCAATCTAAGTGAGCTCCATCTTTGTCAAGTCAGCTACTAAGCAACTGTTTGCGCTAATCTTTAGTTTCATTTCCATCTTCTGTCATTCCCTAGCTCGTAATTCGTTCTTAATCCCATCTCAAGCTTTCTAGGCAAATTATCTATTAAGCTAACTAATAAGCCTTGCTAATCAAAATTGTAATCTTAGTAATCAAGATTGTATTGTCCTTACATGGTTTATTATTCTTCTTCACGTTTATCATTGTATATAGATCTCTCTCTATCTTTGTATATAGAATCTTTCCTCACTCTCTCTCTCTCTCTCTCTCTCTTCCCCTAACTCTCTCTATAACTCTCTCTGCCATTGTATATAGAATCTTTCCTCCCTCTCTCTCTCTACACTTATCTTGCTCTCTCTCTCTCTCTCGTTGTCTCTCGCTCTCTCTCACTCTCTCTCTTCCTCTAACTCTCTCTCTCTCTTTCTCTAACTCTCTATATCTCTTTTTTCTCCCATTCTCCCCCGCTCTCTTTCTCTCTCTTCCTCTAACTTTCTCCCTACCTCTATCTCTCTCCCCAACTCTATAACCTTTTTGCCCTCCAACCCTAATCCTTCTATATCTACCACCTCACCGCATCATGTTAAACACTGAATTTTTATACCCTGAACCCATTTTCAATGGGAAATCAGGGTATAATGGTTTTGTTGAAATGTATGTAACAGGGAGAAGGAGGCGTGGCAGACCCCACAAAGTATATATATTCTTAATCAGGGTGACGAGCTGAGTTGATTTGGCCCTGTCCGTCTGTCTGTCCGTCTGTCCGT